CCTGTTCGGCGAAACCTGTTCATTCGCGTGGCGAGAAGTCCTGTTTCAGGTTATTCTGGCTCATCATCGCGGGCTCGTGCCCGCTTAGAAAACTGGTCCATTCGACGAGGGATGCTGCCCCCGGAACAATGACCACTCTCCACTCGAACGTACACAAACAACCGGGCCACAAAACGCACCCAGTTAGCCTTTGACTCTTATTTTCTGATTCTGTGCGGTCAGTTGCAGACAAAAAACTGGTCCATTCAAAAGGGAGATGCTACCGCTCTTTCTTCCTTCCGTCACTTACTAGCTAATAAATGCGCAACCGCAAAGAATGCGTCTAGTTGGCCTTTGACTTTTAGCCCGAGAACTTTTAGGCGAGGTTTGATTCTTTTTACTTTAGATTTTAAATCCATTGTTAATTTAAATAAAAATAAATATAACCAAACTAACTTTTAAACAAAAAATAATTAATTTTTATTTTTATAAAAATTTTATAAAAATATAATTGTTGTTTCATAATTTAAAAGATCTTGATTGTTTTTATGCAATATGTAAAACTCTCATTTTTACGGCAATTAAGTTAAATATTAAATTAATTATTGATAACAATTTTTGATATTCGTAATCGCGGGCTACTTAAATATTTATTTCACTAACATCATTCTTTGTGATATTTGTAGATACATTATTGTGTCTATCGTGATAATTTTCTTCTTATTAAAAAATGTAAATAAAAATAAAATTTAGTTTTTATTATTTATTTATTTCTTCATTTATATCAAACATATATACATTTCAAGCTCGTGCCCGTGGGTTTACTAAGCCGAAATGACTGTGCGGATCATCCCTGCCGGAAAGTGGCAAAATCGATTTTATGTGCGGCTTGGCTGCCCTCTAACAAAAAGCAGGGAGACAAGTAGTAGAATGGATAACACAGAAAACTATCATTGCGATATTAGGCAAACTCTACAAATAAGAATATTTATCATTCTTTTTTAAGTTTTTAATTAATTGTATTTTAATTAATTGTATATTGCTTTAAAAGCTTGCTTATTGAAAGTATTGCTTATTAAAAGTTACAAAAAGCGTAGGACATAATCGAATAAAGCAATAATATAGACTGCGAAGGAGAGAGACGACTTATCCGTCGGAAGAATCAAGAAGAAAATCTTAATATTCGCTGTTGAATATATAGAAAGTTTCAAATCGATCGATGATAAAAATTAAATTAAATTTAATAATCTAATTTAAGTTAAATGACGAATAAAGAAATTATAATTATCAGATGTCATGTTATAATAAAATTATTATATTTGTCGAAGTATGAGAAAATTGAAATATTGGATATTCAATATTTCGCTTAGAAGGGACCGATAAGGTATTTGTTGCCTTTTCGTTCCTAAGCAACCCTTTGTCTTACGTATACGTAACTTACCGCATAAGAACACGTACCGCAGCAAAGGAGACAAGTGACATGCACTTCTAAAATCACCAGCACTGTTGAAAACTAGCTATTTTTTTTCACACATTTTGAAATGTACGGATCTCACCGAATGTGCAACGTTTCACGGATCACCGACCAAGAGCAAGTCAAATTACAAAAGATCAAAGAACTGACAAGCATTTTAAAGGTGTCATCATTCATAGTAAAGTAAACGATTAGATAAAAGATAAATGAAAAATATGATATATGAAAGAATGAAACGATAAAAGGAGTGAACTTTACTTTTTCTGTTATTTTTGAAACGACCATTCTAAACGAGATTTCGTTTGATTTATTGCTCAGGACACGGACAAGAACCTCACCATATGCGAAGAAATATTGGCGACTTATGTAAAGAAACGATTAAAGGTATGCGTACAATAATTGATTTTTTTCTATATGAATTTATTTCATTTTAATACTTCCATCTTTTATATGTGAGTGATCGATTGCTGTCGTCTTACAATTGATGCACGACTATAACTAATTGGCACCACAAATATGAAATGTCCGTAATATTTATAATTATTACGAAATCTAAAATTATATAAAATAAATAATGAATCTTATTTATATCTTGTACACGTTGCTTGCTCCAATATATTCACATATAAATATAATTCAACAAACATTATGAACTATCATAATAGTCATAAAACAAAAAATGTTACATTCGGAAATTACTAAACGCTGGAAAAAGGTGCCAAAAATCAGAAAACAAGATGCGATATTATTTTAGCGAGTACTTTTTCAGCCGCATATATACTTAAATCTCGAAATTTACCACCCCTTGTACCAACCCCCCTGCCAACCACCGTACGATAACGGCCAGCTCGGATACCCGTAGCCGTAGCTGCTCAATCCGCTTCTCAATCGATACCTGAGAAATCGAACATATAAATCAACTGTCAACGCCAAATTGCTGTCTCGAGATTTTTACATTCGCACCGCTGACAAGATATTTATCTGTACTATTTACCACGGCAACACGGGAGAGTAGTTGGTGCGTACGTAGGGCACCTGGGAAAGCAAACTGTAGCTCCTCTTCCCTAGCTTTTTTTCTCCTATGACTTCCTGAACGCTTGGTTGAGCTTGAAGAACAGTAGTCACTGGCGAGGATACGTCATTGCCGTCGGCTGTTCTTTCGGCAACGAGACGACGACTCTCGTCTCCCGAAACCAAAATGATCAACGATACTAAAAACTAGAATAATTGAGAACTAGAATAATTTAGACAATATGTATGACAATATAAATACAAATCACCATTAGCAAGCAATCTGTGTGAGATGTATGTATCAATTGATTATTTTGTTAGTTAAAACGTATTACAATGTTAGTATATAACAAATATATAATAATAATAATAATATAAAATGAACATTTTAAATAAAAAGGTTAGTTAATTGTCAAATTTTATTTTAAATTTATTTTAAAGGCTTGTTACGTACGTAAACAAGCCTTTAAAATTAATTAAATAACGCAGCATTTTTTGACAAATATAATCCACAATAAAATATTTTCCATATATTTATTTTTCCATCTGAAAGTAAGTGTATCTCTAAAATATCTAAATTCTATTCATATTTTTACTTGAAGGAATGATCCACAAGGCACTTTTTTCAAAACAAAATATAAAAACGTAATATAAATTGACGATGGTGGAAGAATGGTGTTATTTTGCATACAAATTACTGATAAAAATTCACTAACTTTATACTTCAACCGTATTCTACCGTGAATACATGAATTAAGCAGCTTACCAGCAGCTTCATGCTTAAGAATGCGTACGCACTAACTGATAGTGCTCAAGGGATTAACACTTCTTTTATACTGGATTTCTCATACAAGGTGGTTCGCTAAATTTATGGTGAATTCTAGATCCATCGGTATGCGTGCACATACAACTAGCATCCCGACTAACAACTCTGCGGGACCACTCCCATCTAAAGAATCGTTAAACGACATAACGATTACACGAAAGAGTATTGCGATCTGTCTCTACGGTCAGTCTTCAAACTGAGAATACGATGCGTAAATATAACAAATGAGAAATTAGAATTTATTATTTTGCTGTTTTGTTTGATGAAAAAACATTATTATGAGAAACATTTAATAAAGTTATAGAATAAAATTAGACAGATTATATTAAATACGATATTGAAAGGAAGAGAATGTCTTCTTAATTATTGTGTAAGAAGTAAAAATGTTCTGCTTTCACGCGACAGCAAAGAATCAAGCAAAAATGTTGACAAGTTGCCATTATATTGTGATTGTTCACTTTCGCGAGACAGTCTATAAAAGAATACATACGCAGAAAAAAATTATCACAAAATTTAAGATTTTTAGGAAAATTTAAAGGTATTTTAGACTCTTAAACTTGTTTAATACTATTTTATAAAAGGAAAATAATCTTCTTCTTATCATTGAGAATTTTTATTAAATTTATGATAACTGATATTCGTTATAGAAAGAATTTTTTTAAATAACTATTTTTCTTATCTAAATTAGTAATAAATAAAATTAATTAAAATCTATTATGCTTTATAAGAAAATGCAAGTAATTTATTTAATATGTATTGAAAAAAATTAATACGCAATAAACATTGGAAAAGCAGTATCTATTACGATATTTCCGACGTGATATCTCTTTTAATGAATCGATTTTCTAATTAATTAGAAAAATGCGCTGCTATGTAGTAAGATTACAATAAAATATCGTGAAATCTCTGCTTTATATGCAACGTTGGTCCTCGTGACCGGTATTAATCGATTTCATTCAGCAACACAGCTGCACATATATTTTCGCCTACATTGCCACATTGACGTTTATGAAAATTAAGTTCTCAGTTTCTTATTCAGCATTTCACGCTTTTAAGAATCAAACGCCGCTAAATGAGATAAAGCAACTGCGAACTGTTCGCATTTGCCGTTCAATCAAAGCGTAACAGCGCCGTTCACGTTTGCGTCTTCCATCGAGCACACCGAACCCATCCAAAGTCACGTAATATCGAGCACGCTAAGAACGCACATTACGCAATTGCGAGCCCCTCCTTAAACGCGCGACGCGAGTTTTTTTTTTATTCCCATCTCTCCCTCGCGAATTGTCACGTCCTAGGCGGTTTTGTCGATGCCAGGCTAGGAAACGACGACTTTCTCTGGAATCGGAGAACAGGTTGTGTATGTTCCTGTCTACTTACGAAAGCCTAAGATAGGAAATGTCCGTAACGTAATGTGTTGTCGTCTTCGCGACTAGGCCGACTACGTCGACTGTACGCGACAAACGATACCTCGAATTGATATTTACTGTCATCAACCTTTCACAATATCGCCGTAAATTCCCATCTTTCTATTGTCACACAGTCGACCGTAATCACAGACTTTTTTATAGGAAACATGTGAACGCACACATGTGTATATCTTATGTAACGCTGCTATATTTAAAATATTTACATTTAAATAAATTCTTTATATCTTAAAGTTTAAATTTTTCAAAAATTTTCCTTTGGATAGATATATTAATATCATAATTAATTAATACGGATAATTAATATTAAGAATAGAATTAAGATTATAATAAGAATTTTTTGAAACTTCGTCTCTTTTTTCCAAGTAGATTGTGCTATATTTACATTTAATTATTGTATCTAAAATGTACCTCATTTTTTTCAAAATGCAACATTTTTTAAAATTTATGTAAAAAATATGTTTTTTTAAAATAAAGAACATACATATATACATACATAAATTATATGTATGCATTGACAAATAAAAATAAATTTTTAATTTATCGGAATTAATATCTTTATCGATTATTCTATAGTTAGTTTATGTATCTGGGTGAATAACGATACTATTGTTTCTAATAAATCTAATTCTTGTTCAGATTTTAAAATTATAAGGTTATCGACCTTATAAGAAAGTGTTATGGAAACAATTATTTTATTTTACATTAATAGTTCTCGACGGAACAAATAGAACTATTTTTGCATTTATTAGACAAGCTATCGTAAGTTAAGAATCTGAGATGTCGGTAGCAAACACAAATTAATTTTACGCTTGTATACGCACCGGTGAATCCCCTTTCACTTAGGAAGTTAATAAAAAAAAAAATGCACAAACGCAAGCATGCACGACAAGTTTGTCATAATTTTAATAGCTGAATCAGTTATCTTAAATTTTTTTCTAATGCATTACGTCAAAATTTTTTTTATTTTTATGTACCAAATAAATCTTTCATCTATAAAATTAAAAATACTACATGAAATACTAATAGCAAATAAGCGACTTCTTCATAAGGAACTAAAAATAAAAATTCCTTTCTTTCATTGTATTTCGCTATTCTCGGAATAGCAATTATATTATTAGGTAATTCGCTTCGTCCGTTTTTTATTTTTAAACAAAACCTAATTGCATGGAAAGTCCAGTACAAGTCCAACAGTGGTTTTATACTTCTTTCGGAAATAATGGGAAATAATTGCAACAGATGTATCATTCGGGAACGGACAATTAAACCAAGAGAAGAGAATTTATCCCCGTCGGAGTCGCATGAGCGCGTTTAAATCTTTTTGCATTCTTTTTCTTCATCGAGTGACACCAACTTAAGCGATTCCTCCCCGCTCGTACCCCCGCGCGCGCATTGCGTCGTGCCGCTTCAGTTGTCGCAAATCAACGAGTGGGCCCATGCAATTCAAGAGAAACTCGACATTTCTTTCCGATATTATGCAAAAATTTATCCCCGCCCGTCAAATCATTGTTTAATGACAGCTACGCCACCGCAATCCGGCCGGCAGTCCTCGTGGAGTTCTGGGACACGAAGGTTTCGCGCGATTCGGCAGTGCTGTTGCAATAATCTTTCCCACGGCCGAATTTTTAACTATTTTTCAATTTCTTAGCTTATTATCACTCATCTATAATGAAAACGATATGACAGTGGTTTGTGATATAAGATGAGATAAGATAAGATAAGATAAGGCGCTATGAGATATAAACAGCATGCGTGAGTTGTTCGGGTACAATAAGGAAAGCAAATTTTGAAAGAAACTCCTCTCTCGTTCAATCCGCGCGAAAATAAAGTGCCTTAATTTGACTGTGACTCGGCGCGTAGTTTCACATCCAATGTGCGATATGCGATTGTTTCCGAACATCAACTAGATCTCTTCCAAGATGGAACTGTATAAACGAATTTGTGCTATTTTATGTTTATTATGCGTCGCGCGTGCGTCCGAGGAGCCGCCGAGGAAAATTACCGGGTTCAATGAGGGTCCTTTGGCGTACGTTGATCTTTCGAGAATCCAAATTCAGAAAGCCGATGGACAATTCGACGAACAATTCACGGATAAGTCTCGCGACAAGAGAGCTCTTGGCCTTCTTCTATCAGGTCTGGCTCAGATCTTTGGATACACGGTGACTCCGATTCAATTCGCCTCATTGCCAAACCCGAGTACCGCGAGACCCGCCGCAGTCGCCAATTCGTCCATGATGGGTAATGTCACGAAACAACAAGCCGCGTCGTCTCGGCCTGCTGCGAATACCACTGTGCCGAGACGACAAGAAACTATCAGGTTTACTGGTGTATTGAATTTCGGCAATAATTCGGACATTCTAGGACACCTCCGGCAATACGAGCAAATGTTTCACGGTTCTCGAAATAGTACGATGACGCCCATGATGACGACGTCGCGACCCAAGCCAGCTCCGATGCCAATACCTCCTGCCAAACTTTCGATAGATCCAAGAACGAACACGCAAACGAAGCCGCCTCTGTTGGCACCGTTCTTCGTCAAGATTCCGCTGCCGATCGCACCCGAGCTTCTGCCAGCTGTGCCTATCGAGGATCTCGGGTTATCCTATCCGAATCCAGTTTCCATTGCAAGTGGTTCAAAGGAGGAGACGGAAACTCCGGTTCGGAAAGAGCAAGAGACGGTATACAGGAGTAACGAGGATACAGAGCGATACACGGTGGAAGATAAAGATATTTACGATGAGAAGGACGTAAAGAAACCGATGGATAAGTATACCCATCAGTTATACGTCGATGACCCAAGGTGGAAGAAGCAACAAGAAGAGAGAACCAACGAACTGCTACGCAAGCAGGAAGAACGCGTCGAGAAGCTAAAGCAGCAGGAGAAGGAGAGGAATTGCAACAAGACACCTCATCACAGTGAAGAAGAAAGAAACGAGAGATACCGAAACCGTGAAGAGGAAATCGATAATCGAAATCGAGACTACGTTCCTAAACATGAGACAGAAGAAAGAAGACCAGTGTATATTAAAAACGATGATGAAGTTGAAGGCTCCGCGGAAAGATCCAGAGAACATGTCGATCATATGAATCTCTCAAACGAGCCCTCAAAGCGGCCACCAAAAAAAGAGGAAATTGAAGATTATCCGAGTTACGACGATGATTCTAACAAGCAGTTTAACGGATACAAACAAGAGAATTTGAGAGAACCTGAAAATTTCGACAAGTACGTAGAAGTGTACAATCAGCAGTTGCCCATCGGCGACTATTTCCACGAGGGCAATCCCGAAGTGCTTCGCGACAGCTACGGCGAGGTATTGGACAATAAAAAGCTTAAGGACGACAGAATTGCCGGTTATATAAGCATGTTTAAGCAACCGTACGTTCCAGCTGATCCGTACGACTCGCAGAGAGCTCACCCTGAAGACGCGTCGAGAGAAGAGACTGAAAAGGAGACATCTGCCGAGGATGGTTACGACGAGCATTTAGTTAGATTACAGAAGCTCAGGGAGGAGTACGCCTTACCGGAGAATAAATATGAAGAGTATGACATAAATGACGAGGGTGAAGCGGACCGAGACGACAGAGAGAGCGAGCGGATCCAGAACCGCACGTCGGTAAGATCGGGAAGACCTAAAACGGGTCGTTTTCGTGGCGAGAAGGAGAATAGTCGGACGAGAACGCCAACTGGATCAAACGGAAACGAAGCTACGAACGGACTTCGAACGCGCGATGACGATGCCGCGAGATCGGAGAAGACACGGGAAGAGGTGAATTTTGCGAGATATGTGCCTCTGGTTGTGCCCATCCGCTATATCGACGTCAACGACAAACTCCAGCAAGCGACTACGCGACAACTGAACTATAAGAAGGCAGACAAATCAACGGACAGCCGGTTCAGCGAGGATAATGTCGATCCGCAAACAGCGATCTCCAAAGAGAAGCTGACTCCGCTGATCGGTTTGCCCATGGAAAGACCACGACAATTGCACGAAGGCGAGCACAAGGAGTTGCAGATATGGCCGCCGCCTTTTGACTACGCCTACGACAACACGGAACCAGCTAAGACTATCGTTCCGCCAAATCTACAGGACGGAATCTATGCTCCGAATTATTATCAATATGTTGTTAAAAATATTGCTACGCAAGACGCGAAAGATAAGTCTTCGGAACAGCCCTCCGGATATGTCGTGGTCGTTGGTAATCCGACATATCCATATCGATATCCCTACAATATTTATTATTTCTCCAACGAAGCTGTTGGAAATTCACAGAATCAAGTTCCTCGCGCGAACGCCGAGGTTACGCATCCGCGAGACCAAGTCTACGTTGCTCGACAAAGCGCCAATCGACAATTTGTCCAAGTGAAACCTAATCTCACTGAATATAATCTGAATGAGACCGCAAAGAGTCCTCACGGCTATTACCAGCCTCAAGAGGTCCCAACGAATGTTCTCGATCGTTACAGGTACACTTTAGGAGAACGCACTCATCAAGCTGGAGAACTGGTCGATAATATTGACATAAGAACTCAAATTCCTAATACAGAGAACTGGTCGAACAGGATATATCGGCCGCCAGATAACAGAGTCGAGCAATCTCCTCATCGGCCGATCTTCGCACAGCTGCAGAACATTGCGTCTTTGAATGTGCAGAATGTGCAGAGGGGACCGTTGCAAAGACCGCGGCTTCCACAGCTGTTGAGAAGACGAAGGAATGTGCAGCCAGAGGATGGCAGCGAAAATGATGAAGAGGCGGAAGTCGCGCAACCGAAGAACAAGCCGTTTGATGATCCGCAAAGCGCTCACGATTTCTTCGGCTTTAGCAAGGACGATTATAGTTTCGGAAGCGAAAGCAGCGACGCGACGAAAGAGAATGGCAAAACTGCGGGGGAGGAATCGGACGAGTTCGTTTCAGCGGAACCGATCGCTTATCATCACGATGACGAAAGTACGAAACACATCGATGAAGCGGAAAATGATATGGAGAAAGCCAAAGTCAGGGAGTATCGTAATAAAGTGGCGACCTTGAGAGTGTCGGAGCGGCGGCAATTAAAGCCAAACGGACCGATCCACTACATAGACTTTATACGCAATATTTAACCCTAGTGTTACGAATAATGTTAGAAATAACTTAAGTAAATTGTACGCTGTTGATCCTTCAATTTTGCGTCATTAATAAGGCCCAAATTTTTACGGTACAAAAAATTCGTCACATGTTTCATACAGCATTTATTGCTGGCATGAGGATTTCAAGTTTTATTTTATTTTATTTTAAAAGGTGCATTTCCTTGTTTGAAAATAACGTAAAATGTAATATAGAAGAATAAGAAATATATAATTTAGTATATTAACAAATTATATTAATAATAATAATAGTAATCTATGTGAAATGAAAGCATACACTCGAATACGTGCTAATAAGAATACATTTAAAAAAATAAAAAAGATTTTTCAATTCACCATTCTTGACAGATCTGCCTTTTTAATCAAATTGCCACATCCTGCACGCACACGGGTCTATAATTCAAAATCAAATATAAAGTCATTTATATTTAAATAATATAAATCAGAGATCATTATGTATATAATTTATATTATATATCATATGCATGTCTTATATAATAGGAAATAATTAAATTTAATTTTACAAATAATTTTCAAAGTACTCCTCCATGATAAAAATTAAATTTGTAACATCTCCATTATAAAAATTAATTAATTAATGTAACATAAAATTACTTTTTAATCAAAATTACTTTTTAAGCGAAGTAAAAGTATAGTATGCGTATATATGTTTTACATTAAATATTTGCTAAAAACTAATAATAATAATTTAAAATAATTCAAACTTTCTTTAGAAACGATTTCTTACAAGATAAAAAATTATATTTTCCATCACTCAACTTATATTCACATTTCAAAATATTCTTATTTTTAGCATCTGTACGCGTGTGTTTCAGGAGAAAAGAGAGGAGATACAAAGAAGAAATGAACTAGAAAACAAGATGACCGAGATATTGGAAAATTTGAAAACGCGATTATTGGTTGAATAAATCGAGTTTTAAATATATGTATTATATATCATTTCTATAATTTATGATGTATGTTATATTTCCGTTCTTTGTTATTATGTTTTGCGTGATCTTATAAAAAATAAAATAATATTATATTGATATCAGCGTAAAGTGCTTATTAATCAATCCTTTTTAAGAATCGATTCATAATTAATTCCTAAAATCGAACTACCTATGGAACTATATATCGAAAATTGAGATTGAAAAAATTACATATTACAGATTGAATTTTAATTAATCAGAATAAAGCAAGCAAAAAATGAGATTAGAGATTGAATTTAGAGTTTAGAGTTTAATCTATTAAAAAATATTTTAATTTACTTTTAATAATAATAATAACAAATAACTTGATAACTTTTTAGTCATATGACAATAAACACGTAACATTATATATATAATAATTAGAAAATAAAAGAACTTATAATTTATGTTATGTCAATACAATATAATTATTATATTGTATTATATTGTATACAATATTATTAACAAAGTAACAATCTGATTAATTGTCGAATATGTAATGTCTTAAAGTAATACATTTTTAATAATATTAAATCATAAAATTAACTTAGAATCAATTGAATAACATTTTAACAAATGTAATGCTTAAATTTTTAATTTAAAAGTCTTCAAGTCCCAAAAACAAATAAAAAACAATAAACAAAGCAAAGTTCACAAATTTACGTGACTACGATCGAAATGCAGCATGACAGCTAGCTTTTTTGGATTTTAAATAGACGTACATTAATCGTAAGATTTCTATATCCAAAATACGAGAAATAAACTCAAATCTTGTCACTGACCGACGCATTATCGATCAAGGTTTGCGAACTTTCTGGCAAATTTTCATCGCGGATTATCGCAAAAGCGTAATATCGTATTGGTATTTTTTCGAATTCAAACTTCGATTATCGATCGAGTTTATATTCTCGATCGTATACAGGCAACCAATCAGTATCGAGAAATGCGTTCGTTCGAGAGATTGCAGCGAAGTCACTCGAATTAAATCCGGCCAATGTATTGCCGAAGCTGGTGTATAACAAATGTTGATTCGATCGTTTTTATTGTAAACCTTAAAAAAATAGATATAGAATCATCAAGAAATGCGCGCAATTTGCTTACATAGTGTTTCTTAACGTACCTACTATGGAGGAAATTCTTCAACAATTGGGTGTTGGAATTCGACCTTTAAATGATCCTTTTTTCGATGATTCTTATAAAGTTTGTAAGGTTTTTCAAAGAAAAGGTGTCACGATTGACGATGAAGAAGAACTCTGTCACGAAGTGTGAGTATCGATGGTATTTCTTTTTTAAAAGCTTTTGACATAACCTAAAAATCTATCTATATTTAGAAAGTCTCACAAGTTTCGAAGTTTCAACATCACAGTCATTCAGTATCACATAACCTTTACAGATTGAGGACATTTGAAGTCTTGAAAAAAAATATGTTTAATAAAGGGCATTCCCAGAGAGATATAGATAAGACGATGTAATACAGTGAATTGTTTCATCCTTGTTTGCCAAATATTAAGGATGAAATGATTTAATATGTTATACTGCGTCATCTATGTCTTTCATCTATATCTTTTAAAAAACACTGAAATATTACATCTTTACAAATACTTCTTTCTTAGAAGATTCAACAAAGAAGACTTTATTAAAGACTTCAAGTATCTGAAATTTAATTTTAATAAAGGAATGGTTGCGTTTGTATCTACTTGATAGAGTAGAGAAAAATAAAATTAGTATCTTATTTCAGTATCAAGGAGTTCTCATGCTACGTACCAGGATGCAAGAACACTTTTCAAACATTACTTGATTATGAAATGCATTATAATAGCTCTCATCGATATGCTTGTACTGAATGTAAAACATCCAGGCCAAATCCACGACTATTAGAGATTCATATTCAAGAAACACATGATGCCTTTTTCAAGGTTTTGTCCGAGAAACAAGCTATGGTATTTATAAGACTTACCTATTTAAGTGAATTAATCTTATTACAAATGTTTTTAATACAAATATTTTTTTAGTATCAATGTTATGATTCTGAATGTAACATGAAATTCAACGATCCAACAGAAAGGAAGGACCATTGTATTAAAATACATAAATTTCCAAAGAAATATCGGTTCGATGATACACCACACCATAGCAAGGAAGAGGAATCAAATAAAATGGAACTTGACATTGTTAATAATAAAAAGAAGAAGCCTACTAAGGTATTGTTGAATAAAAATCAGAAAAGCAAGATGTTTATAAAAAATACCACCAGTGCAGAATATAAAAATAATACCAATGTAGAAACTGTTTCATCGACTATTGTCACAAGTACAGTAACACCATTAGCTTTTATTCCTAGACAAGTACAAAAATCCTTTTCGAAGGTACTTACCAATAATCAAAATAAGGAAAGGAATGTTCTTGAATCAGAAACTATGATGGAACTTGTAGATGCATTACCTAATTGACAATTTGTATAGATATTCTATTTTTTAATTTTAATTTAATAACAAAAGAAATATTCCAAACAATTTTTTTGTACAAGAATATTAATTTTACGATATATTTAAAAAATGTTTTATAATATGTATTTAAAATATTCAAGATAATATATTTATATTTACATGATAAATAAAAAATTTCTTAGAATATCAAATTATGTAATAATTATAACACACATCTTATATATTTTAATATTATAAAACATTACCATTATTAAAATAATAAAGGAAGTATTTTTTCATGTAATATATGTGTGTCATCACACATATATATGAACATGTGTGTGTGTGTGTGTGTGTGTGTGTGTGTGTGTGTGTGTGTGTGTGTGTGTGTGTGTGTGTGTGTGTGTGTGTGTGTATGAGTAATATGTTTACAAAATCTGAATTTTTATTAAACTAATTGAAATTTAATTAGATAAACACATACACAATAATATTTATATTTACATATAAAATAAGTTATTTTCAATCAATTTATATATTAATTTTATATATTAATTTATATCTAAAATATGCAAATTATTGCAAAAGAATATAATCCTTTACATTTTCTGTTAATATTATCCACAATATTTTTAATGTCTCATTTCATTTTTGTCTTCATTTCGATCGATTTATTATTAATTTATTATTCATTCAGTCAAGTCAATAATGTTAATTACAAAGTATATTTACAAAGTATATTTACATCATCGCATAAGTCTTCATTCACAGTTTTAACTTTACACTCAGCTTATATTTTCTAACATCACACGGTTATACGGAGTTTACATGTGATTATTTATAAATATAGTCTAAGTTACTATCAAAAAATTATTTAAACATATTTATCCAAGAAAGTAATCCAGTATGTAAAATGTATCAAAAATTTTTTTTATAAATTGTGAATATTTTTATGACATGATATATATATGTACATATGCATATATGTATATACGTGTGTATATATATATATATATATATATATATTATATAGTAATATATATATAATATATATATAATATATATATAG